AACTGTGTGTGTACGCAGCTCTGGATGGCACAAGCTTGGAAACCTGTTGCACACAACACGTCTCATGTGTTTACTCTCCTGTCCCTTTATGACTCATCCTCTACCCTCTGACCCTGTGGGACAGAGAGGGCCTGTGTTTAGGAGGAAACACAGCACCAGCCACATAACACACACACACACACACACCATTGAAGAGGGACAGCAGGAGTGCGGAGGTGGGCAGGAAATGGCGTGTACCCCCTCCTAGAGACCACATCCTGTCCTTGGTTAAAACTGGTTCATTTGGCCAGAGATTTGAGCTCTTTGTGTGCAGAAGCATCCATGTTAAGACTTTACGAAGTCCTGAAATCATCCAGAAATGTACAAAACCCTCACAAGAAAAGCATCCACAGTGAGCGTATCTCTCAGCCCTCACAGCACATGTCATTGATCAAGTCTACATTGCAACATGTGGCATTCCTCAGCAAATTCTCCTCCCTACTGATTTGATAAACGGCCCACGAACAGAAACATTCATTCTTCACCAGACCCCCCCCCCCAATGTCCAATCTCTTCTCCCTCATTGCTTCGTCTTTCCTTATCCCATTATCATCCTCTTATCCCCAGTTCACCCTCTCCTTCAAGCCTCATGCTATTTGTTTCCCCATCCTGAATGCTTCTTGTTATTTCATACATTTTTAAAATATCTTTTAAAGGATAAAGGTAGATGAGAGAGTCCAGACCCAGCAGACGAGGTTGACGCTAAAACTTTGGGCAGTGACATTGTGTAAGAGCGTTGCAGCTTGTACGAGGGTTTGAAACTTTAACCCAGTGACTTAACCTTCTTGGCACGAATTTGGTCCTCCAGTGATTCAGCTCTGCAACCCCCGCCAGCTCTGATTTCAACAATATACTGTACCCTCTCTCCTCTGCGATGTGGAGCACCGTGAATCCCTGGAAGAGATCCACAAACACTCTCATACATCAGTGTACACACAAACAGCTGTAGCCGCGCCCAGATGCTTTATATCAGCACTTTTTGGAAGGGCTGTGTTTAAACAAGACTGACAGGCCACTTCCTGTGTCCCAAACATTACCACAAACACATACATACACTCAGAGCAGAGCAGTAGAGGGGGTAAATGCAGTTTCAGCTTTCAAAAATGTTAGTCCTACACGGCGGAAAGAGCGCTGCTTCCCATTGTTTAATTTAGGAGTGGAGAGAAATTGGTTCTGTTACACACATGTGAAGCCCCTCTTACGGCTCTTCACGGGATGACTGTTTAGAGAGAGGCGTGCATTTTCTGTTTCCAAGATGACGGCACTCTATAACCAAATAAAACTCATGCGGCTGCAAACTGTCAAACATCAGCTTTTGTGTACACAAAGCCAATTCATGAAGCAACATCCAGACTTCCAATTCACTGGGAGTATGTGCAAAAAGGAGCAATTACATTTTTATTGTTTTCATTTATTAGAGCGAAGCAAAAATGCTTAGACATTCTTTCCATGAGAATAACACATGTGAGAAATTAAAATGAATGGCAATCCCCTTTTCTGCGTAATTAGGTCAGCATAACATTATTTCCTGTTACAGGAAAATCAAATTATTACTTTGACTCAAGAGCAGAGTGCAAGGACAGCAGACAGAACAGCCCTCTTTTTCTGTTCGATGGCGGTATTGTGTGTCTGTCACTAATGGCTCAGGAATGTCACATTAGTCAGGGGCCGCATGCGTGACACTGCGAACATTAAAACACTTTGAGGAGACCAATATATGATATCACGCACACACACAAACACACACTGACAGGTCCAGTGATCTCATTGCCTCAAAGCTACGGGGTGATAGACTGCCTCCTACACACTGCAAACCAGAAAAATGTCCCCCCAGCAAGGTGTCAGAGTTGGATTTCAAAACGGCCGAAACATATCAGAAACGACAGGCTGTTTAGTGGCGTGTTTTGTGTAGATTTTCGGAGGTAGAGTTTAAATATCCTAAGGTGAAAACTGAATATCATCTAACTCGACAGCAGCTTTTGACACATTGTGTGTCTTCTCCATCTGTTCCAGTTTTTATTTTACAGTCGCTAACACCCTTTTGTATAGTCACGATGTATAGTCACATTTTCAAAACTCTCAACACAGTTAGAACATCCAATGGTTGTGGAATATACCATTAGCCAGAGGCAGGACAAAGTCTTTGTTTTCCAAGTCACAAGCCTTAAACTTTGAGTTTCAAGTCTCAAACAAGTCAAATTGCACTTGGTGCTTTTTAAAATTTGTATTTATTTGTTGAAACAAGTTTGTTAAAAAGTTACTTAGCTGTTACGCTAACGTTAGCTTAGCATTTGCTCACTAACTATGTTATATTAATTTTAATTTTATATACTTCATTAATCCCCGAGGGGAAATTCAATTTTTTCACTCTGTTGTCAATTACACACAGGTCCGAACACACACATGCACAAACAGGACCTATACATGCACTAAGTGGAGAGATGTCAGAGTGGGGCCCATGACAGGCGCTCTGAGCGGTTGGGGGGTTTGGTGCTTTGCTCAAGGGCACCTCGGCAGTGCCCAGGAGGTGAACTGGTACCTCTAGCTACCAGTCCACGCTCCATATTGACTTGAACAGGCAGACTTGAATAGGCGACCCTCCAGTTCCCAACCCAAGTCTCTATGGACTGAGCTACTAGCCTCAACTTACCGTTCTTTGTGCAGCTCAGAATGTTGTACAAAGTCGGTTGTTCCATCTCCATCTCCATTTCCAGTCTCAATTTTTGAGTAATTTTGCATACTGCAATTTCTTTTTTGTTTAAATGACATCATCTTTCATTTTTTCCAGCCGGCGCTCACTAATGTAATCTTAGTTCTTCATGGTCCTCTCCTGCAACTGTGTGATGTCAGATTGGTTCAAACAAAAATGAATCTGGAGAATGACGCATCGACTTGCTGGGATTGAACAGCGTTACCGTTAGTTGTTTTAGAAAATGGGGACAAATTATTTGATTCTTGGCACACTTTTTAAATATCATACTTTTTAATCTTTGGGTGTGGGAGGACGTAGTAAATTTAAGTCAAAAGGCTCAGGTTCAAGTGGAGTCACAAGTCATTAATGTTAAAGTCCAAGTGGATTTGCAAGTCTTCTTTGATTTTGTCTCGGCGGGTCTAAAGTCATCAAATTTTATTATTATTATTGCTATTATAATTATTATTATTATTATTATTATTATTATTATTATTATTTATTTATTTATTTATTTATTTATTTATTTATTTATTTATTTATTAATCTATTTATTTATTCATGGGGGTTTTTCTAACAATTTCAATACAGTAAGGGTATTTGTTGTCATTGCTGTAATTAATGCCATTAGTGGTTTTATTTGTTTGTTTTGAGTATTGTTGTGTAGTTTCAAGTTTTCTTGTTGTATTTTGTTACTTTTTGCCTTGGATTTTTTATTATATATTTGTTTTACACTACGGTGGATGCATTGTTGCATGTTTTACCATCATTTTGGCTAGCGTCATTTTTCAGTTCAGGTCTGCGTGTGAAATTGTTCTGAAAAGGAAACATCTGAATGGACCAATGGGTTCAAGCAAATGAGAAAAACTTTAACTGTTTTGTAAAAAAAAAAAAGTGTGAAAATGTACGAAACCAATAAAAGTGCAAACACCTTTACAAGAGACGACTTCTGCTCTGCGGAGTATGATGAAGATCAGGTGGAGCCCAGTTTCACTGAGTGTGACAAACTGTAACAAAGAAAATGTGGTATTGCGCATGAAATTAACTGTTTGGCTCACTGTGTGTTGCTCTGTTAAAAGTTTATAAAAGACTCTTAAGAAAAAATAAATGCTTGTTAGCAATTGTAAAAGAAAAACTGTAACTCAACCATCCCTGCCGCCCCCTTCTCTGTGCCCACCAAATCTGTCACTGTCTGCGGTTCAGGTGGAGGTCACTCCCCTGTGGCCTGCTTCTCTGCCTCTCTGACTCATTACCTGTGTAGGTGTGCAGCAGCTAAATGACTCTAACCTCTCGCTTCAAAACAGCCGATAGGCAGACGAACGAAAAATCCCCCTTGATCAAAGTAAAGCTTTTTATTCAATATGTCTGCGTGTGTGTGTGTGTGTGTGTGTGTGTGTGTGGCTGTCACGCAGTCTTTCGAGTGCTGTTTACATTGGGCAAGCTAAGTCATGCAATCTGATCCCAAGCTTTTTGAGAGCCTCTTCAACCCCCCCTTCACACAAACACACACGTGCATCCACCTCTCAACACTGAGAGCTATTGGAAGGAAACGCGTTGTTACCTCACCAAGACATGCTGGCGTCAGTGTGTGTATGGGTCAGGAGGGCAGGGGGGAATTGTAGACACATTGCTGCCATATGTGCACCCTGGATGTTCACCCTCAGCTGGGCTCATGAGCGCAAACTTCCTCCCAAAGTTCCTACAAGGTAACCAGAGTGTAGCCATTACTGAGCAGATGGCTGCACAGACTGGAGTGGATGTGTGTCAGTCCTGAGCTGTCCGGAGCCTGACTCTCTGGGTTGTGTATTTGTTGGTCTTGGGCCTAAGATTTCAGCTTCCATCTGTGGCCGCTCCTACAGCAGGAAGTGGGTCAGTGGGATTCCCACACTCAGCTAATTTCACACTGATTTTTATTCTGCAGAATTCGCTCCGCTCTGGCCCTTGGGAGGATCTCTTTTCTTGCTCAGCATCTTCCACATCTTCATGCCATTTTTTTTTTGTTGCTCACCTCTCCTTCTCCCACCTGTGTGCATCCCCCCTCACCTCTTTAGCATGTGTTCTCCGTGAGTGCTGACAGCCCGGCAGGTGTGTGCAGGTGTTCCCCCTATCACTCAACATCACACAAACCCGTCCCTGCACCTCCTGACACACACAGCTCTATCTTCCCATTCAGAAACTGTCATGTCTGTCCTGATGAACTCATTTGGAGCTGTGAGTTAATACAGCGACTGTTGAAATACTAATTAATGTTCACACAAACAGGTCCACAGCATTTATCATTTAAAAAACAAAGCTTTTATTTACATGTGGCAGCAAAAGGCACAGTATTCCCATGTGAAAGGCATGTTCAACAAAATAGGTCATAAAAACTGTAGGTCAAAACTTTCCCAAAAAGCTAAATAAATGTCACTTTAGACTGCTAAATGACAAGATTGGTCAAGTTTAAGTGGTCCTTTCATGTCCCATGACACACAATGAGTGTGTGGTGGAGTTTGTGGCATGAGGAGGGGCGAGCGGGGGGTCACCTGTCGTCGAGGTCACAGCTAACACGTCTCTCAGCGCCCTGCCTCCACAGTACACCATACACAGACAGCTGTCTCAACACATACACACACTTGCTCATACACACACATGCCATGTATGTATAGTATGGTGAGGAATGACATCCCCACATACACACACCCCAAGCAGCTGCAACATGGCCAGAGTCCCGGACCGGCCGGCACCGATGGAGTTTCCTGGGAATTAACTGCATGTCCAGCTGCCCTCAAATCACACTCTCATACACACGGCTGACAGGACGCAGCAGAGATGTGCTGCGGATACCGACATGACCTCAACTGACAGAGAGCACTTAAGAAGGCATTTTAGATCAGCAACTCCAGTTTTCTGTCCGGTCGTGGCTTTAGAGTCCACTGTCCTGGCTCCAATCGGTGGGAAACCCAACCAGCTTCTAATGGCTCGTGGGAACAGTTCAGGGAATGTGAGTCTATGAGGCAGGGCAGCATCCAGAGGCGGTGTGTTTGTGCAGCAGGGACATGCGACTGAAGGTCCGCGAGCAGGAGCCGCACTGGTACTTCTTCACTTCAGAGTGGGTCTGCAGGTGGGCACGCAGGTTGGATCGATCAGCAAAAGCCCGGTTGCAGTGTTGACAAGCGAAGGGGCGCTCACCTGGTTTTAAAAAGACAAAAACATTAGCATCAGGAATACACTTCTACACCAGGCCAAAGGTCTGTCCTCTGGCTATTGTTTTTCAAATGATCGACAGATAACTAACAAAAGAGCAGGAACACTGCCCTAACTTACTGAATGCAGATTTACCCTTTTTTATGCGTGGCTATTCTGAGTCTGAGATTAGATTGTGCCATGCTAAGCAATAACATTTGCTCACACGTCACAAGACATCAATGAATATCAATGAGCATGTGGTGCAACCAGCTGTTACATTTACAAGTCAACAGAGATTGGAAATCAGTGTGGCTTTTCACAGGTGAAGAGGTGCTTTTGGTGCATACCTGTGTGTGTGCGGATGTGTCCTCTGAGCAGCCATGGTCTGGAGAAGGCCTTGCCGCAGGTGGGGCACACACAGGGCAGAGTGTGTGAGCGAATGTGCATTTTCAGGGCCCCCAGGCTGGTGTACTCCTTTGGGCAGTGTTTGCAGTGGAAGGCTGGGCGTGCAGAGACCTCAGTGTGCAGAGAAGGCATCTGCTGCTGTGGCGCACAATGAGACATCTGATGGTGGGACAGTGCTGACAGGCTGGTGTAACTGTTGCTGCAGTGCAGGCAGTGGTAGATGTGCTGGATGATATCCGGGCTGGGGGGATCTGAAGTACGCCCGCCATCATCCTCTTCCTCGCTGCTGCTGCTGGAGGGAGAGCTGCTGAGGTCCAGAGGGCCAAGCGGTGAAGGGGAGAGGGACACAGGGGTGATCGGGGAGAGAGGGGCAGGCAGGGTGTCCATGCTGCTGAAGAATGGGTTGGTGGGGTAGCAGGTCAGGGCAGAGCTGTTGTTCTGCGTTGGGAGTTCAGCCCGGGGAAAGCTTTCTGGGACAAAAGCTGGCAACACAGAGAAAAGGAAGTCAGGTGGGTTGTAATGGACAGATAATCTAATCAAGCACTAAACTTGTTTTCATTCTTGGGTGTCTTGTTGCAGCCTGCTTTCAATATAATCCTCATCCATCTAGCTTTAGCACATTTTCCAGGTCACCAGAAACACTTGTTTTGCACCCACAAACAAACTTATTTTTTGTGCCACATGGGTCTGTGTTTTCCTTACTGACGGTGACTCACTCAGCATGTCAGATTTGACCACAGATGCATCAGATTCAGTCAATCAGTGAGACAAAAACACTTACCAGTTTGGCTCTCAAGTTGGCTCTCCCTGTAGCACGGCTTCTTGTTGGAAAAATACTTCTTGACAAGGAATGACCGAGGCATCTTGAGGTCTGGCTGCACCGATAGTTCAAAATAATAATAATTCCCACGGCGGAGTGCGCTCAGATCCAATGATCGCTCCCTCAGACAGCTGCAGACTTCAGTCGAGCGGAGGGATCAACAGGACAACAACCAGGGTTATCTGTATCTTGTTCAGGGATCGCAAAGTTGCCTCCTCATATAGTAACCAGAGGGGAGAAGCAGCGGGGTGGGTGGGCAGATCTCCGCCCAAAGACACACCCCGTGCGCCACCAGCTCCACTCAACACAGGTGCCTAATGTGCCCAAAACTGTTGCAAAGCGCAACTCCAACTGTGCATTTCACGGCTCTTATGTCCCACTCCTCATACATTTTGTCATTTCATGTGAATAGAAATTAATTTAAAGTAAAGTTAGGCCAAAATTTTCTTTTCAATGCATTTGAACGATGTTACATGTGCACAAGTATGCTTTTAAATGCGGGGAAAACAATAAATCAACAGATCATGTCTGATTCAATGAGGATTTTAGGGAAAAAATGGCTTTCTTGTACCTTAAAACATTTCTCCACTGTGTCCATTCCTTCACAACGTGCGTGATGGCAAACTGAAGCTGGAGCGTCCTCTGTCGGCTCATTAATGGTCTGTCTGTCTGTATGAGGCGGCAGGCTATATTGTACTGTATATTTCCACATACACACACATCTAGTATAATGGTGACATTTTAAAATAGTTTGAGAACACTCAGACCCATTCACTGTCATACACGATCCATTTGCCAGCGTGTTGCCTTTTTGTGGCGCTTTTTGTGTGCCTCTGCGACGAGGGTTTTAGGCAGCCCGGAGAGGTGGAGAGATTTCTTTTGAGAGGGTGCACAGGAGACAAACGCTCTGTTCTCTTTGCTCCCACAACATAAGGCACTCCTCAGCTGATCCTGGCCGCATCCCCCCTCTCTCTTTGCCTCTCTGCGGGGAATAAGTCCGTCCAGATAAAAGAGGCGCTGTTCTCCGACTTGCTCACAGCACGATCCGAAGTAAAAAATTAACCGAGCTGACAGGAACAATATGATGACGTGATTAAAACCCAGACAAGGCCTTGTTATATGTTGTGCCTTCGGGTGGCGTGACATGCAGCGACCCATGGGATATAACCCCGAGAGGAAACGGGGTTCACAGTGCGTAATTGTGCGTAAAGTGTGTGCGTAATTGAAAGCAGCTCCACGCTCGAAAATCAAACTTGTGCCCTTCTTATCTGTATAACTGACATGTGCAAGAATTACCAGAATTCATTATAAAGTAATAAAAGGGAAACAGTGAGAAAGAGTGATGCTGCTCCTCGTCATCACATCTTCTAAACATTGGTTCTCGTCCCCAATTATTTTATCGTTTAAGGCAGTGTCATTTCCGTATTTTATTTATATATTACACTACACATATCCTATTTTACCGTAAATGTCGCGATTATTTGCTTGTTTTATGATTCACTTTTACTTTGTTTTGCATATGTGCTTGAACTGTGCTTAAAAAAGAAGATTCTCATCATGGAAACCTGGTAATTCTTTTTATTTTCTTGTGTATCATATTTGTCACGTTGTTAAGATACGAGTCCTTCTCCTTAATTTTGGGGTTTATTGTTGTTGCACACATCCTGTGAGTCTGAATATCAGGTGCCAGCCATTAGACAGGAATGTCACAGCCTTCAGAGGTCCTCTTTAGCATTGCAAAGAGCCTGAAAGCTCCTCGGTGGCAGGGTGAGCGGTGGGTGGGTGGGTGGGTGGTTGGTGATGGGGGTGTATATGCACCTGTCTAAAAGGCGCCATTGTCACTGCATGCCCAAAAGTTCACACGTCGTTAGAGCGCTTGTTGACGCCGACGCCACGTAGACTGGAGGTCAGGAGGGCAGGGCAGCAGTAAAAACAAAAAGCAAATAGCAGAGACACACGTGAAAGTAATCTGAGGCGTGAGTCTGCTGCTGAGGATGAAAGTAAAAATGTGTTTAAGAGCTTAATAAAAAAAAAACATCTCTAACATGTACAAAAGTGGTACTTATTGTGTTAATATGATGATCTGTGTGTTTATCTCAGTCACAAAAAAACAGAAACATCATGACGAAATGAAACATCCACCTGACCTGACCCACACACACACTCACACAGTGTATGTTGAAAACAGCTGATCACACACTGTTGAATTTGCTCTTCTGAGGAGAGCAGTTGGTCTGTATGGCTGACAATTTGTGTTACAACAGGGTCGAGGTGACCTCATGACACTGAAAGGACGTGAAGACATGAGAAGTTTTGCAGAACAGATGTTCTCTCCTCTCCCGCCTCAGGGATGAACCAGCCGGCGGAGACGGCTGAAACTGTTCACTGAAATCTCTTAAAACTAAAATAAAATACTGTGGAAGACAAATCTTCATTCAGTCTTATCTTAGGGAGGTTTTACAAACTAATGCCGGAAGATATTCCAACAAGGTGGAAGCCTGCTAATCCCCCACCAAGAGAAATGTGGCTCTCTGAAATTAATAGTGAATGAAAATAGAAGGAAACTGTCTAAAAATATGATTAAAGCTTTTTGTACACAAATGTTGGCAACAGTTTATTGATTAAATGGACATGTATGAGCCTACCTCTGGCTTATCGTAATCTTGTTGAGTTTAGTTTTATCAAATGAAGTAAATGGAAACACTTTTAAAAAGACAAACACAAGGTTGGTCAGGAAGTTATGATACCCTCAGCTTGTGATAAGTTTTAACAAAAAAATTTATTATGTTAATTTGGGGTCATCCAGAACAGGTTACCCAGTCCTTCAAGCGTCTTCTAAATAAATGTCCATACTGTTAGGTTTAGAAAAAGATTTGGCCATGTCATGTTACATTACGTTAAGTATGTGACACGGTCTCACTTCGTTGAATCCAACACTTGGGTAGTGACTTGTGGCATCAGAAACAAACAAAAAAGGCATCATTTATCATCAGCCAACAAACACAGACTTTCTAAAAGATTCTAAAGCCAAACCCTGTTCTATTTTCTTAAACCTAACCACTTCCTGTTGTTGCCGAATGTGCCGTAATGTGTTTATTTTGAAAGACATAGTATGTAGACGTTAAATTTCCTGTAAAAACCGAAGTGTATTTTGAAAGCAGACAATGCATGTAACAGGCAGAACTTGACACAGTGTCCCAGACCGTCAACAACCAACGCACCCAGGGCACCTTGCACGTCGTATGTGGACGTGGAAAGTCCATGACCAAGCACATCAATATGTGACGAGGTTGGGGTGAGAATGTATTGAACGTCACGTAACCTGAAAAATGTCTTAGGAAATAACCAACACATTTTCATTCCAACCTTGTCCCATTTGGAAGCCCATGGTCAGGTTTAGGCAACAGACACGCATGGTTAGGTTTAGGCAATGAGACCTTCCCTGGTGGCCTAGTGGTTAGGATTCGGCGCTCTCACCGCCGCAGCCTGGGTTTGATTCCTGGTCAGGGAACTCTCTCTGGAATTTCTCAATTATGGGATCAGTAAAGGTGTATCTTATCTTATCTTATGAAAGCACATGGCTAGGTTTGAAAGCCCTTGGTCAGGTTTAGGCAACAGACACGCATGCCTAGGTTTAGGCAACACCGAAATGCAGCCTTCCAGGTAAATGTTCAGGGTTTGTTGGACCCATTGCACACAGATTCTGCATGTGCAGGTATCTGTTTATGGAGACTACATGATCACAGTCTCCTGGCTCACAATGACAGATTATATACCAATAATAGTGCATCAGTTTTCATAAGTGTAAGTATGAACAGTTAATGAGAATAGCCTGACCTATGGCCAGAAATGTGAGCGGAGTTTGTTTTATTTTACTGCTAAGTGTGAGCCTGAATCTCCAGTGACCCCTGAACCACCCCTGAAGCTGACAAAAGTCAGATTTAATCAATGTAAAAAAAAAGAATTTCAGAGAATCATCCTCATTTTCTGTCTTTTTCTTCCAGCTGACAAGAATCCAACATCATAATTTATCTGCCGTTTCTTTGTGCAAACTATTCTTATCCAAGATTAATTTCTTGTTTTTATTTCTCTGAGAGGATGAGGACGTGAGTGTAGATAACTTGAAGACGTATAATGTCACACATCTGCAAAGATAGTCTCCCTCTTTAGTGGCATTGATGATGAAGCTGTGATTAAAGGTGTTGGAGGGGTGGTGGCCACATTGTCCTCCAGTGTCCTTTCATGTGTTTGAAAAGAAGTGAGCTCCCAAACACCTATTGTGATTGTACAAATGTTTTTTTTGCTCCAGTGGCAAGTACACAAGTGCACCTGAAAGCCCTGTTTTACATTTTAAGAACCCTTGCTGATGGCCTTAGAACAATCTTGTGCATTGTCACCATTCAGTCCATTCAGACAACAGGTAGTGGTCACTTGAGTGCATTTACATTTGATGTTTATGCAGACTGACCCTGAAGCACAACAACAGATAAATCAGTTTTCTTTGTCTATGTGATTATACAAAGGATATGGCAGATCTCCCAACATGTTAGTCAATGGAGGGATGTAACAATACACTGATGTAGTTGAATCTGAAAGACAACGGATGAGTGTGTGATTATTGTCTGTGTCAGATGATTTCCAATGTGTCTGAGTTGCTTCACTCTCTTTTACCACCGCACCTCTGCTTGTTTGTTTATGCATGTGAACTGGAGTGTGTATGTGTGTGTGTGAGTGTTGCCCTACAGTTCGGAGGTCCATAAGCTCAGCAGGAGAGAGATAAGGTTATCCCCCTGGAATGCAGAGCTGCTCGTATGGACACACACTCCCACACACATGCTCTGTAGCCTGTGCTCACTCAGATGAACTTTCTGCGTTAGATGCAAATTACAACAGGGGTGGGCAGATGGAGACACTGAAGATATTGATTTGGCACACCAAAAGTCATAACTGAATTTCAGGGACTTGCTAGAGTGCCCCAGGAATGAGTCCTTAAACCCAAGGTTCCCCTGTCTCGAAGTCAGTGGGTTATTTTGAATGGGTTTTTGGTGAAATGTCTGACATAAGGTCTGTGGTTAGATATAGATGTAAGTAAAGAGAGCTCCCTCTGCACAGCCAGTCTCAAGGATCAGGTGCTGGTCGGCCGCAGGAACATCACAGATAAAATAAGAAACAGAAACCACCGCACACTGAACTGAATTACTGTAATTT